GGCGCATACTAATTATGAAAGATAAAGAAAATTAACCCCACATTACATATATCTTCTTTACCGTGTCAATATGGAGGATTTGCTGATTCGGTAAAATGACTAACTTTATATTGCATAATTAAACTATAAAATTGTGATATTTTGTCTTTTATCAATAGTTAGTAAATATGCATAAACATGTGATGAAATAGGTTTCAGAGAGATGGCTATCAAATTTACGCCACGAAAGTGCTCCTAGCGAAATGTATTCGATCCACGCGGACTGTTTTTGTGACCATATGGTTGAATTTAAGCAGAGCTCATTTTATGGTTACGTAAGTGCTTAGTGTAAAGTAAGTGTTACTAAGTTAGACTTTTTGAGCGTTTTCTCGTGAAGTTGATCCTCACTGGGTGTACATTTATATTGTCCGTGCGCTACACGAATCGACATATTTTATATATTTCTCTTTATCGTATTCTACGTTAATGTTGTAGTCGGGCTAAAGTAGGCAGTTTTAACGTTAATATGGAGGTCAATTTTTAAGACTGTGACGATGTATCAATAAAATACAGCCAACATAATTGAGACATGATATGATGAGTATAAAATAAATAATATTTGATTAAGAGAGAAAAAGAAAAAATGAAAGAGAGGTTTAAAGAAGGAGAGAATAAAAAAGCAGCTTAATAAATGACGTCATTAGTTAGAATGTAGATGTCGTGTTGAAACAGTAGTTGCATCAGCAGCAAACTGATTCTCATTCAGCCAACCAATGCTTCGCGTCTCTCACTTCGACTCGATTCTTAGAGTGGTAGTTCTGTTTCTTCATCTGTCTGCTAGGTCAGCGGTGGTGGCATGAAGTTCAACTGGGAGTTAGTTCGAGTCCTGGTAATACAAAAAAAAATGACTTGGTAAACTGAAAAAGAGTGTGTAAAACTCATATGAGGTAAAGCGTATAGAAAAGCGTAGAAAAACTCATATGAGAAAAGCGTATTTATCAAGTGAGCAAGAAAATAAGACGGATTTTAAAAAAACTGATTAATTCTAATTTTTCTGAGCTTGCTACTATTTTAGAGGTAGACTTTTCATATTATAATAGAATTATACTCCATAATTGAAAGTTCTTTCTTTCTTTCTTTACTTGTTTTTCTATTCCTTGCATATTGTTCTTCATTTGTCTCTCTCTCTCTGTCTCTCTCTCCCAGCTCTTACGATTTAATTCACTCTCACTGTCTTTCTCTATACTTTTTATCCTTCTATTCCTATTCAATATTTTTTTCGTTTTTTTCTTTTTTCTTCCCTCATTCTACGATTATGCTCCTTATCTACACCTTTTCTTTTTCTCCTTCTCAAAATCATCGTCACCATCAACTTCTTCTTCTTCTTCTTCTTCGTCGTCGTCGTCGTCGTCGTCGTCGTCGTTTCCACCACCAGTTACTGTTTTCCCGCTTTTCTTCTCCTCATCCTACTACTCTCATTATTACTACTCGTATTCAGTATTACAATCTTCATATATACTCTCCAGGTAAGACGATGGGGAAAAGCAAGAGAGAAAACAAAAGATTCAGTCATGCTAAGATGAGAAGTAGCCAGAAAAAGAAAATAAAGATTTTGAAAAGAGGCGAGAAAAAAAAACTATGATATAAAGAAGGAAAAAAGGAAAAGAAGAAATAAATAAAAGAATCATGGGAATAGATGTGAGTAAATGGAGCATTTTATCGATACCAGAAAGAAAGAAAGAAAAAGAGAAAGAAAGATAATTACATTTTAATCCTTTTCATTTTCTCATTTTCTGTTTTCTCTCCCTCCTTCTACTACAATTAAACATTTCGCCTCCTCTTTCTTATCCTGTCCTCTGACTACTACTAGCCAATATTTTTATCTTCTCCACTCTTTGCTTCTCCTCTTACTAACAGTATTAGAGTTGATCTTCATCTTTCCTTTTTTTTTCTCTCTCTTTCAACATCTGCCTACTATTCAGTCCTTTTCATTCGTCCGTTCTTCCTTTTATGTTTACTACTACTACTACTACTACTACTACTAATAATAATAATAATAATAATACACTGTCATCCCTTTTCATCTTTCTACATCTCTTCCTTGTGATAGAATCTAATCTTTCTACCTCTTATTGTTTTTCTTCTTTTTAATTTGACTTTTCAAAATGTCTATGACTTTTCTCACTTTTCAGCTCTTATTATTAATATTTAAATTAAATCATTCATGCCTTTCTTTTCGATAATTCTCTGTCACATTTCCTTATATTTTTCGATAATTCTGTCATATTTCCTTATTTTTTCTTCTTTTTAATTTGACTTTTCAAAATGTCTATGACTTTTCTCACTTTTCAGCTCTTATTATTAATATTTAAATTAAATCTTTCATGCCTTTCTTTTCGATAATTCTCTGTCACATTTCCTTATATTTTCTCTCTTCCCTTCTGCTCTCTTCGTATTTCACTTAACACCATTTCTTTAGCTTTCATCTTTTCTTTTCTTTTTTAATGATCCGTAGCCTTTTTTTTATCTCAGTATTGTTGGAATCATTGGACTTCTCCTGATTTAATACCTGGTTAAATTCTTTTAGAAATGAACAGCCTTCTTCGGACTTCATCATCATCATCATTAAATATTTCGCTTATTCTTCTTCATTTTCCTTTTCTTACATCGATTTAAAAATTTAAAATCACTTTCCATCATACTTAACATAGCCCCATCTCCCGTTATCGTCATCATCGTCATCATCACCATCATCATCATCATCATCATTTTCTATTCTTGTTTCCTTTTCACAATTTCTCCATCGACATCATTTATTTCTCTTCGAAATATTCTTTTCCTATATTAAAGTCCTTCTTCTTGCTTTTATATTGTGATATATCTAATACTTTCATTTCTAGTATTCGTTCACCTCTTTTGCTTTTAAAGTTTCCAGAAATTCATCTTTTCCCTTACTCTCCGCCATTCGTTTACATTCTAACCCCTTCTTTTTTATTTTATCCTTTAGGAATCATCATTTTCTATGAGATGTTGAACGAAAGTAATTCCTGAATAAAATATTCCCGAATAACCAATAATGAACTCGACACAAATGTTTGTTAGTAGTTTTGATGACTTCTCTTTGTTTTAATCTCCTAAAAAAAATGAATGCGACACTAACGAATAATTGACCCCCTAAAGAAAAACAAGTCAGTAAAGAATATGGATAACGTACACAAAACAAGCAAATAAATGTAATGTTTAATATAATCAAGCCCAGTTAACAGTAGCAATGTGAAGGGAACAGGCTGAGCAGAATGTTGATTCGTACGCGCACGGCATCAAACAATCAATGCCGAAACAAACAATACTAATTATTATGAAATGGACAATTATTTTAAGACATTTGTATCTATAAAAAGAATGTATAAACATAAAAATATCCTGAAATAATTGTCCGCCTTTGTCCAGTTCATAATGTGTGACGTCATTGGATACGCGTTGAGCAGATATGAATATACGTGAGAGAATCATGGAAGATTGTAGTTTAAAAACAGTAAAATCGACCTTGCTAACCAAACGCTCCTCTGTGGCCCAATCGGTTAAGGCACGTCAAGCTAAATGACGGTTCCGTATAGTATACAGGTTCGATTTCTATCGGAGGACGAATATTTTCTATGAAAATTTCTCGGACATTCAAGCCGGTAAATGTTATTAATACTGTTTATTATAAAACACTGCATTTACTTAAATATTTGTATCTATAAAAAGAATGTATAAACATAAAAATGTCTTAAAATACTAATTATCCCGTGTTTCCCGTCTAAAAAATCCAAGTTTTCTGCACTCACTAACAATTATCTCCATACTTTTGTGAGTAAAGACCAAAGTGTGTCAATAAAAAAAAATCTTCGTTGCACGCTTTTTTATACCAAATTTAATCCAACAAAAGACCCCACTCAAGGTAGAGCGTTACAATTAAAAATATACTGATGAATAATGTCTGTGATATGAATTGAAGTATAAGTGGTAAGAATTGAAAATTATGAGGACAGGGTAGAGATAACGTAGATCATTGACTTGAAGATACGAATATTTAAGCGTTTCTTGAAACAGCCACGCGGAAGTTTGTTCCACGAAATGTCACTTCTTGGGAAAATCTGTCTGAGTGCAAATATCTTCTTACAATTTGGAACACAGAGGCAATGAGGCTGATTCGACTTTGCGGAAATTGTATGGTGTGCCGTAGCTGTAAAGGTCTATGTGTTTTAATATGCTATTAAAATCAGCAAAAACAAACATCGCCGGTTCGTTAGTGCCAACTTCTATACATAATGTTACATATTCAAAAAGAGGCTGTGTAAAATGGCGTATTCAACGTATTTTAGACTTTATTTACACTATTTATGCTAGGTCTATTGTCATTATATTTGTTGTTGCTGTCATAGGTTTCAAGCCGTGATAACGACAACAAAGACAAGAGCAATAATTCGAATATAAATATCGGAATAATGATAACTCCTGATCACAGAAATTTACACACAAATCGTCAAACACTATATAATGATTTTCTAAGCGTAGCATAGATGAGGCAAAGACTAAAAGCATGGGTCACCCAGTGAGGATCGAACTCACTACTAGTTGTTCTAGCAAGTCAAGCTTGCTAACCATTACACCGCGTCGAGGTGCCCAGTAAAACACTACATATACTAAAATAAGTTTTTATGTTTATTCATTGTGTCGACAAAGAGAGAAAGAGAATTGTACTTGCTATTTTTATTAATAGATTGATTCTTTTTTACGGCTTATCAACCCTTTGCAGGTTATTTAAAACTAGAAAATATATTTAGATTGTAAGTATTTTTTGAGGTAATAATTGTTTAGTGATAAAAAAAAATAATAATTGACCCATAGCTATTGATTGATGAGGCGGATTCATACCATTTCCCAAGAGTATTTGCACGAATCCAAATAAAATTGCAACTCAGTTCTTCGATTAATAATTCCGAGCCATTATCCATAACACCATCTCCACCTCCAAGCTTACAGCACCTGGTATTCCGAAGCAGTCAACCATCTAGATACTGACTAATCACGATGTTGCTTAACTTCTGTGATCGTACGGGAAGCAGTTTTTCAACGTAATTAGGTCGTAAGCCATAATATATTTACATTACAAATATTAATACATTATATTAATATATTATATCTCTATCTATAAATGGCAGGATGTGTGTGTGTGTGTGTGTGTGTGTGTGTGTGTGTGTGTGTGTGTGTGTGTGTGTGTGTGTAACGAATGCACGGCCGCAATTTTCGACGGATTTGCACCAAAATTTACATGCACATGCTCCACGTTAGTGGATAGGCCATGACCGACTTTGCATTTCCCAACTCCCATCGATAGTGGAAATAATCGATTTTTTCATGCTTCTACGGCATGTAGTTTCCGGCCATTTTGTACTGGCCAGAGAGAGAGCCTATAGCTGGCTGCCACGAATAGACCGGAAGTTTCTATTGGCCAGCGTGAGAGCCAACAGCTGACTGACACGAATGTTAACTAGCATGCTAGCATGCAAAAAAATCGATAGCTGCATTCGTCACAAGTGGGAAAAATTTAAATCTGCATGGCACTTTACTACAATTGGCTCATTCGCTTGCTTAAACTCAACGTTGATTCTGATTCCGCAGAACTGGGTTGGATGTGAAAAAGTATTTGTTGTTAACATTCTTTTTTCATTCAGTTTTTCCAGTTACAAGTCCTTTTTTAAAACCGATCGTTTTGTGTTCATTTTATTTAGTTCTTTTTTCGTAACAGATTTAATGTTTAGTATAGAGCTTCGAAAAAATTCGCAGTGTGAGATAGGCAAGAAGTAAGGTATGTAGCAACATCAGCACGGCAAAAGGCACTCCTTTAAAGGTAAGAAATATTTAAAGTCAAGTGATAGCGGTTGCTGCATGAGTCGTACGATTTTTGAATCAAGCACAGGCAACGCCAGGCCATGCTTCAAGTTATTATTATATGCTAACTGATTTATACTTTGGTACGAATGACTGTTTAAGTTTTAATGTAATGGGGACCGGTTTTTCAACATGGAGTAGCCATACATCATGCTATTTTAAAATCAGGATTTCAGGGAGAATAGTACGAAAATATATGGACAGTAGGTTCATCCATTATTGTAGGTACTTTTCGATCTCTCTTCTGGCTTAGTTTTCCAAAATTAAAAGGCGCTTTTTTTAATTTTTTCTTCTGTCAAACTTCACTGAATTTTCCATTGATCTGTCTTACGTTCTTGTCTAACTGAAGCCGAGACGAGATGACAGATTCTAATATTTCCGATACATTTTATGAGCATAAAATGAATCATTATATTCAACACATTTTCTTTATGATTATCAGTCATCTCAGTTGCTACAAATCGTACTGTTTTTTTTTAGTTATTGCCTCATTTCAACGACATATTTTTATCAGACTAATATTAGCCGTATATCATTGTTATTGATCAAACAACAGCATGTCGCTTACGTGCTTGGAAAATAAGAAGTTCCCATAGGAGTGGAAGCACAGTTGTTGATTGCTTGGGAGATTTGACTGTCTCTACTTGTTTTCTCGCACCTACTTAAAATGTGATTACGCTTTGGGTTTAAACGGGTCCCTGTTAATAGACGTAGCGGCTACCGTTGTTAACCACTCATCTGTTCAGCTTCGTCGTGAAGAGGGTTTTTTTTTTTACCAATTGTTACCTGAGTATTTTATGCGCCTTCCCTGACCTTTGAAGATAGCACTAGACCCGTCTCCGGCGAAAACTAGTGGAATTTTCGACACATACTTTCCCCTGTATTTCTAATGAGTCTAATAATGCTCTCGTCTGGAGAGTCTATATCTTCCTTTTTTGAAACCTCTTTGCAAGATGTCTCAGTCCTGTCTCAAGTTATCCCATAATGATGGATGAAATTCCAACCTGCTTCTACAACAATCTCTTCAGTTTTAGATATTCATGTACAATTCTTCCGATTTTTGCTAAGTGTTTCGGTTTTAATATGATACGTTTTTCCTTCTTCAGGCTTACGGCCATATCACGTTGAGCCACCAATTTTTGGATGAGTAACGTCGGGTCAATTGTAGCCGCGTTTGCTATATTTACTTACGTTCTAATACTTGTGGAAATGGTATGAATCCACCGTTTCTCCCTCCAGCTTTGGATTAAATAGTATGACGTATCAATAAAACATTATTATCTAAAAAAATATTACAATCTGAAAATATTTTATGGCTTTAAATAACCTGAAACAGGTTGATAAGCCGTAATAATAAATCAATCTTCAGATGAAGATCACATTCTACTTAGTCCTAACCATGTGTAAATTATGAAGCATTATTCAAATTCTTCTGTTTCAGTGATGAATATCAGCGTCTATCAAGTTCACATTAAACATTTGACCAAAATATATTTGCAGTAGTTCATGATATTCACATATGAAGAAACATTGGAAAGTTGGTAAAAGATTTTCGACACGAGAAGAACCGAAATTCGATCAATTGAAAGCCTGCTGGAATATTGAATTCGGGGCAGATCATCGACCATTAACCCATCAAGTGCAAATTGTATATCGACAATGTACCCACCTGACCTTTGATACAGAGCCTTCAACCCCCCTCCCCTTTTGCTATTAACGAAAATTCCCCATGGATCGAAATTGACATTTTAGACGGATTAAGCTGTTTGAAATGAACACACAGCTTTTCCCATTCAGGTTCAATGAGGTCTGGAAGATGCTAATAATTAATCTCCACCAAATCGGTTTATTTTGAGAATCTTGAACACTTAACGATAGAACGTTCTTAGAACGAGAAAGATGTCCACAATGGCCGAATAGATATCTATATCCAGGGAATGATAGAATTCCCGTTGTGTTTTCTTTTTTTTTTTTTTTCAATTTCGCTGGAAACTCAAGTATTACTTGATGGAAGAACAAGAAAACATAACATCCCAGAATATGATTATTTTGTGAAGATATTAACATATTTTAAATCTTTTCATCCGGGTAAGGGAATAAAGACACAAAGGTGCAGGGTTATTGACTGTGAAGTAATATGTGAAAAAAATCATTTTACGGAACAAAAAAAACAGTAGAACAACAACTAAGATGACAGAAGATAACGATCGCCATTGCATTTAAATTATAAAGGTCAAACTTGATTGGAATGTAAGAAGGCAGAAGAGAGTTCCACAAGAGAGAAGTGCGATAGGAGGAATTGCTAGCATAGAACTTAAGCCTACATCTAGCTATTTCTAACGTAAAATGATAAGATCTTACAGCCAGTTTCAATACATAGAGACCAGGCAGCATGGAGGTAAGTTCATCAGTTTAAAGTTTAAATATAAATATAGACAAACAACGCACCACACTTGCGAATATTTTTAATACTGGACATCAGAATGAAGATTTTTCATCAATTGGACCATTCTTATTACCGTCTACATAATTACTGTTTAAATGAAAAATAATAGAAGTCAACCAATAAAAATGGAAATTTTATATATATATATATATATATGTGTGTGTGTGTGTGTAGTATATGATTTGTAAGATTCTAATAATCTCCACCAAATCGGTTTATTCTGAGAATCTTGAGCACTTAATGATAGAAACAATATATATATATATATATATATATATATACAAAGGTAATATCACTCTTCCTAACAAAACTGATAAATACATTAACCTTTCCAACTATGAACTAACTAAGCACCAAAAAGAATTACTTAACCTTGGACCTAACTGCCATATATACCGTAAGTACAATCGACTTTTTAAAAAAATAGAAATTGAGACCCTATACCAAAACATCGTTAAACTCCAGGATGAACAACTAATAGAAACTACACCAGAATTTAAAGACTTACTTAAGGCCGAGGCATTCAAGGATCGGCATGATAGAAGCAGAAACCCTCAAAATTCTTTCTAAACAACTGAAAATTGCCGCACAAGAACTACGTAACCACCCTGACATTATTGTAAAAAAAGCTGATAAGACCAACATTTTTGTCATCCTAAACAAATTGGATTACAACAAAAAACTAGACCACATACTCCATGATCACATAAAGTTTAAAAAACTTAACAAGAATCCGACCAACCAACTAAAATCAAAGCTTAATAAACTTATTAATGCTAATAATGCTGAACAGAACTCTTTAAAACTCCCTAAATTGTTGGTGATTATAGACCTGGTTACATATATGGCACTATAAAAACACATAAACCTAACTATCCTCTCCGTCCTATCATATCGCAAATTCCAACTCCTGTATATCATCTAACAAAATACATCAACCAACTTATTACTCCCTATCTTCCTAGTAAATATAGTGTTAAGTTAACATTAGAAGTAATCCAAATCCTAAAAAGTGAAAAACCTGACAATGAAATCATGGCTTCACTTGATGTTGAAAACTTATTTACCAATGTCCCTGTTAGTGAAACTATTGACATAATTATAAGAAATATATACAGTAACTCATCTTTACCCCCACTTAAAATTAATCCTAATATATTAAGAAAACTACTATTAACTTGTACTACTGAAGTCCTTTTCTTCGATCATAATAACAATATATATATACAACGTGATGGTGTCTCCATGGGTTCAGTATTGGGCCCGACATTTAGCAATTTCTACATGTCGAACCTCGAAAATAAGTTATTTACAGATTTTAAAAAACCATCAATCTACCTAAGATACGTTGATAATATTCTTATGTTAGTTAAAAATACAGATGAAATAATTCAAGTTCAAAAACGGTTCCAAAATAATTATGTCATTAAATTCACATATGAACTCAATACTAATATTAAAATCCCCTTCCTTGACATATTGATAAACACAAATAATAACCAATTTACTATTTCGCCATACAAAAACCTACAAGCATAAATTCATGTACACTTAACTACAAGAGCGAATGCCCATATTACTACAAAATAGCAATTATAAAGAATCTAATACATCGTGCAGAAACTAATTCATCCACAAAACAGATTTTTTACAGTGAACTAAAGAATATAAAACAGACACTTATTAATAATAGCTTTCCAAACTATATAGTTGATGAACAAATAAGATGCTTTCTTAG